TTCTGGATCAGAACCCGGACCGGTTGATTACGGTCTAGTCCCGGTCCCTAAAAAAAGTCGATTGCGGGTTTTAGTCCGGTTTTGGACTGGTGCACAGCCTACCCTCACCCTTATCATCACTTGAACCCAAACCCACACCCAGAAACTAAATCGAATCGGGGCTAGGCTGAGATTGGGTACGAAATGGTGCGTCGTTCAGGTGGTCGGTTGGGCGGGTTTTGCTAATCGAGAAGTCGACAGCGGGGGTTTGGGTGACGGTCGTTGGGCCGGGGAAACCAACGCCGGTAGAGAAGGTGGCGGCTGAGTTAGGGTTTTTGGGTTTTTCATTTTTCATTTTTTTAATCCAATAGATTGTTGCCACGTGTATAATGTGGGGTCCACTAACGGCTTTTTGGATGACGTTAGTAACTAATGGTGAAATCAATTTTTTGAGGATTATATAATAAAAGTTCATTTTTGTTGTGCTATTATAATAAAAATTTGGATTTGTTTTTGTGGTGTTATTTGCTAAAATGTCCTTATTATTATTATGAAAAACAAAAACCTATAAAGTTAATCAACTTAAAAGAAATTGGTGGGGAGACGAGATACAATTTGGGCCCCCACCCCTCTAACTATAGCAAAATCGACCCTGTTATGTTGAAGATGTGAGCAGCTGCACGAGCGTCAATATCGTGAGTCTTAGCAAGTGTCTGGATCCGCTTCAGCAAAGCAATAGCATCCTTCTCTAATTCCCCCAACAAAGAAAAGGAGAAAGGTAGAAAACCATAGCCAATAGCCCTGCTTGCAACGCGCCCCATACTTGTCCCGTTTCCACTGAGCCGCAACCGGGAACAAATTCAGACAATCCAAATTGTGTTAAAGGAGAAGACCTTGTCAAATCAACACATACATCAAGCCCTCTATCCCAGGAATAAAGCAACCCGTCGGCTGGTCAAAAAGTCCCGTCGTTTCTTCCAGTCAACCCAACGTTAACCTCCTTTCTTGCAGAAATCCCAAACCGAAAATAAATATTAACAAGGGTATCACGAACAACGTTGTGCCGGTGTTTAATACCCACCATCCAAGCACAAGACACTGCATGGTCCCCATAAATATCCCCATTAAAAACCCTTAAGCAAGCAAAACACGGTATTGAAATGGAGAACAAAGGAACACCCAATCGGTAGCGGCAAAGAACATAACAGTAATTCTTACTATTAATAGTCTGACTTTAACCTGATATTGGGATATATCTGTCAATTTCTACTGTTAATATTGTTATTTCTATTATTATTATTTCTACTATTATTACTGTTATTGTAACCATTATTATTTTGCAAAAAACCACCTTTTGAAATCTTATCTTTTGCATATAACCACCTTTTAATAAAAAAAATGTTGCAAAATACCACCAATTTTAAAAAAATTTGTTGCAACTTACCACTTTTTTAGCCAAATTTATCAATTGTTGGTAAGTTGCAATAAAAATTTTAAAATTAGTAGTCTTTTACAATATTTTTTTAAAAGGTAGTTATACGCCAAAAAACAAGATTTAATTAAAGGTGTTTTTTTGCAAAATTTCCTTACTATTACCGTTATTGTTACTATTATTACTGCTATTATTACTATTACTATATCTATTGTTTCACTAAAAAGAACATGATCCTAAAAAAAAGTTTAAATATTTTCAGTAACAGATGTAAGATGATAGCACGTGTTACTAAAAATGAAATGTGAATAATCAATTTAAAAAGGATAATTTGGCAATTACTACTACATGTTAATACCACTTGTAAATTACTACCGCAAATTAAAAAAGTTGTGAATTACTACCGCAAAAAATTTTAAGATGATGCGATTACTACCAAACCCCCATTAAACTCAACTATGACGTCATTATATCCCTTTAACCCGTGTTTGACCATGGTGAAAGGCTTTAACCAGCCCCCCCCCCAAAAAAAAAGAAAATGGTTTAGGGATATAATGATGTCATGGTTAAGGGCTTTGCTTTAACCATGAGTTAAATTGATATAATGACGTCATATTTGGGTTTAATGGGGGTTTGGTAGTAATCGCAACATCTTAAAATTTTTTGCGGTAGTAATTCAAAACTTTTTTAATTTGCGATAGTAATTTACAAAGTAGTATTAACTTGCGGTACTAATTGACAAATTTTCTATTTAAAAAATATGGAATAAAAAAAGACAAGGAGGAGGAGGAGTGATCATTTTTGTAATTTTCTTTCCCCTCTCAAAATTAATGAGACTCCAAGTATTTTAAATTAATTACGTTATGTACTCCTCCGTCTCCGAAAGAAAGATCCATTTGGCCTAATTTTAATCCCAAAAAGAATGACCCATTTGCATTAAAACACCCACCAATTTGCAACAATATTTGTGCAAAATTAGCTTCCCCATACAAAAATTTGATTTTCTATGTAAATTATTTATTACTTTCTCTTTCTATTTTGTTACAAATCCTAAGTAAATTTATTTTTTCAATATACTTTTAGTTCTTTGTATTTAACTTTCTTTATACCCGCGTAATCAACCCAAATGGGTCCTTCTTTCGTGGACAGAGGGAGTATAATTTTTGTCTTGCTTGATTAATTATTCCCCTTCATTCCTGTATAATCACAACAATTTAGTTGACCTTAATATTTTCATTTATTACTTTTGAGAATTTTTACTATACTTTTTTTACAAATACATAAAAATAAAGATAAAGTCTAAAAATAAAATATTACGGAGTATTGTACTATTATGTAATATGTTGTTTGGAATGGGGATTAGTCTTACATATATTTTATGTACGTAGTATAACTTATGCATTATTGTACTCCCTTCGTCCTCTTTTGATAGTCTCTTATGGGCAAATTTTAGTCCCAAAATTTTCACCCCATTTGCTTTTTCCAACAACCATTAATATTAATTTTCTACCAAAATTCCCACCAATTTGCAACAATACTTGGGCAAATTTAAATTTCTCATGTATATTTTCTTTTCCCATGTACTTTTATTACTTTCTTTCTCTACTTTTTTGCATACTTAATGTCAATTTACTTTTCTAATGTACTTTTATTATTCTTATTTGTGTTTATTAATTCCGATGAAAAATGCCCATAAGGGACTATCAAAAGGGGACGGAGGGAGTATATTACAATCAAACTGTTATGAGTATTAAAAATATTTAAATTTCTCATATGAAAGGATCCACGATACTTCGTATTATTTTACTATTTTGTCCCATCAATCCAATGTAGTGAATTTACATAGCTTTTTTTTTAAAGGGGATATAGGGGGCGTTTTTGATGATAAATTAGTTTCTATAATTTTTCACGCACATATCTTATGCGTAGGAATGCCAACGGATCGGATTCGGGTCGGATGTGGCTAAAGCCAAATCCGATCCATTTAGTAAACGGACCCTGGATTCGGATTCGAATCCGAGTCCGAATCCGAAAAATCCGAGTCCGAATCCGATCCGACTCGTAATTTTCGGATCTGAATCCGGTCCATTTACATGGACCTCCAAATGATCCGAATACTCTAACTATCCTATAATTGACTCAAGCCTTTTGATTCTAATTGAACCTAAGGGCGTGTTCACTTCAGCTTAATATCAGTTCAGTTTAGTTCAGTTCACTTCAGTTTAGCTCAGTTCAATTGAGCTCCTAATTTTCTTCTCATAAATTATTCAGTTTAGTTCAGTTCAGCTCCAATCAGTTCAGTTCAATTCAATTCAGTAAATGTGAACAGGTCCTAAGATTTTAAAGTCTCGGAAAGTTCTAAACAGGTTGATGCAATACATCAAGCTCAACTCAACTCGTGATCAACTCTACCAATTGTCACCCCTAACTAGTATTTGCTTAACTATTTTCATCAAATTCCTCATATAGAAGGATACATATTGTACGGGATAATACCAACAGAAGTGAAAATAAGCCGAAAGTAAAAACTTTCACATGCCTATTTAGTTAAACCTGAACATTCTTAACGGCTCTCCAGTCGGCCACGTGGAGAGCTGCTCCCGGCCACGTAGGCACCTGCTACGTATAAGGTCGGTTTGCCACCTAACGTCATAAGGTGGCACCAGCTTGCTTCTTCCCCTATATATACCCAGGCGCATTCTCATAACAAGGTACAATCTCTCTCTCTCTCTCTAAACATTTTCTCTTTCTTCATTCTTTCTTCCCCAGATAACTAACTTTAGCATCGGAGCGGTTATTCCCGGATAACCCCCCGGGCTAGTTAATCTGTGCTGACTGTGCAGGCATTGAATTGGACGGTAAACCTTTACCTGCCCCAAGACATCACGGTATCGGAGCTTACCCGGAACAATTGGCGCTAGAAGGAGGGGATAGTAATGACTTCTATCGTCCAAAAAGACCTCCACCAGTCATGGAAGGAGACAATGAGACTACACCCATACCGGAAACTAGAAACCGGAATGATGATAACAGTAACAAGATTGTAAACCTTATACCTGAGATAACGGTGGAAGATGAAACCCACCTTCTCTATAAAGACACTACAGATATACCGCGAACACCGGAAAGAATTCGGGCACCCACCCCAGACCCTTTGGGAGAGTTTACTCCTGAAGAACTAGAGATAACAGCCAAGGTTATGCGGCCAATGTCCCGAAAAAGAAAAGAGGCTGAGATGGCGGCCATAAGGGAGCCTCGGAATAGACCGACAACCCCTGTGGTCATCAACCACGAGGGTCATTTCAATCAATCTGGACCACAACCTAACCCCCAGCCGCCACCCCAGGAGACGGTTGTACCATCGGAGCGTCAGGTTACACGAACGGCGTTTGGGGGGGAATCGGAGTCCTACCGGCATGAGGCTAGTAGTGGGCCGTCAAGGCATATAGCCCGAGCGATAGTCCGGCCAAGGACATCTCCCTTTACGCAAGAGGTCCTTGATCAGCAAATGGAGAAGATAAAAATGTCGTCATGAGCATATGATGGCAAGGGTGACCCAAAAAGGTATATAGCGGCATTTGAGAGTCATATGTTGTTATATACCGACACCGATGCTAAATGGTGCAAGGTCTTTCCCACAACGCTGGTTGGAGCAGCTTCGGACTGGTTCACTAATTTGCAGCCCGGGTCTATCGATTGTTTTGATACGTTAGTTGAATTATTCACGGGCCAATACATAAGCAACAGTGCGAGGCAGAGAACCTCTGGAGAACTTATGTCCGTCCGGCAGAGGAAGGACGAATCACTAAGGGACTTTGTTCGGCGATTCAATAATGAAGCTAATACCATACCTAAATTGCAGCAGGAGATAGCTGTCATGGCCTTAATGAATGGTTTGGCTTAGAGTGATTTCAAGAAGTACATGGCACGGAAGTCCTTTCCCAATCTCGTCATGGCATTTAACAAAGCCCATGAGTACATTAAGAGTGAAGAACTTCTGAGAGCAAGCAACCAGATAACATCAGCGGAGCCGTCTCGACGGCAAAACACTTACACGTCTCCCGAAACCCCCGGTGGGGTCAATAGGCAAAATCAGCAAAAAGCCAATAGGCCTGTTAGAGGCCTAGGACGGTATAGTAACTACACCCAGCTGAACACACCCAGGGCTGCAATTTATTCAATAAATCAGCACAAGGAAGACAGGAATCGGCCGGCACCAATGATAACGAAGGGGCGGGATGTGAAAAAGTATTGCATGTTTCACGGAGACGCCATTACACTAAAGAATGTGTCCAGTTGAAAGAAAATATCGAGGATCTCATCAGAAAGGGGCATCTGTCTCAGTATCGGTCTCAAGCAGGTCCGAGCCGACAGCCAGCTCAGCCAACAAGGCAGACAGAATATCGAAAATAAGCAGACCCGTCGACACAAGATGATACTTACCGACATAATCCTGAGGTTTATCGGCAAGGATCCGCACCTGCCGGACGCAAAATTAACATTGAGGTAATTACAGGAGGACCTGTGCATGGGGGATCTGTTAGTGGTGCAAAGAAATGTTTGTCGGAATATAAACACATAGTAAACGCACTGGGAGTGGACGAGCGACCTCGACCAATCAATATCCCTTCTGTGTCCTTCTCTGAGGCTAATGCCAAAGGTGTAGTATTTCCCCTTGATGATAAATGGGTGTGATATCAAGCGCGCGCTAATAGACGGGGGTAACTCGGCGAACATTCTGTTCGCAACAGTGTTTGATGCCATGATGATAGGCTGAAAATACTTAACGCCTGTGTCATATCCTGTTATTGGTTTCAATGGCTCAATGGCCAGACCCGAAGGTAGCATAAAATTCTACAAGTTAGAATAGGAGAAGGAACCAGGGCGAGGTATGTGATGACCAAGTTCCTAATTGTTGACGTGCCGTCAGCGTACAATGCTATTATTAGCAGACCATTAATACACGATGCGCAAGCCGTAGTCTCGACATACCACCTCACTATGGTGAATGTCTCTATTACCGGTAGAACGGAGCGCGTTCGAGGAAGTTAAACGATGGCAAGGGAATGCTATGTATCGGCATTGAAGCAGCCATGTCGGCAAGTTCCGATGAGACAGAATAACCAAAAAAGGGAACGACCTACCCTAAATAATGATTTGGCAATGGAAAACTTTGATACAAGGCCCATAACAGTTCCTAGACCATTGTCGGGAGAAGAAACCATTGAAGTTGAACTCCAACAAGGAGTTGCAAATTGGACGGTAAAAATCGGGTCCGACATGGATACCGAGATGCGATGCCATCTAGTCGAGCTCCTGAGGGAGAATGCCGAAGTTTTTGCCTTCACGGCCGATGAGATGCCGGGAATTCATCCTGATGTGATGGTACACAAGCTGAACGTAGATAGACGAGCTAGGCCGGTACGACAAAAGAAAAGGAACTTCTCCACAGAAAAGATCAAAGCAATACAAGCAGAGGTTAATAAGCTACTGGTGGCCGGTTTCATAGAGCCGTGCACGTACCCATAATGGTTGGCCAATGTTGTTATGGTTAAAAAGCCATCAGGGAAGTGGAGAATGTGTGTTGATTTCACCGACTTAAACAAAGCTTGCCCAAAAGACTGTTATCCTCTACCGAGAATAGATCGCCTGGTTGACTCTACGTCGGGCCATGCTCTTTTGAGTTTTATGGATGCATTTTCTGGATACCATCAAGTTAGCCTCTATCAACTAGATCGGAATAAAGCGGCATTTATTACGGATGCCGGAGTTTATTGTTATCGAGCAATGCCTTTCGGATTGCGAAATGCAGGGGCTACATACCAGAAGCTAGTAGACAAAGTTTTTGCGGACCAGAAGGGGAGAAATGTCGAGGTATACGTGGATGATTCGATCGTAAAAATCCGTCTAGCTACCGATCATGTTGAAGACCTAAGAGAGACCTTCGATACTCTACGACGACATCGAATGAAATTGAATCTTGAGAAATGTGTATTTGGTGTCAAGTCCGGAAAGTTCTTAGGCTTTATGGTTAGTGAAAGGGGAATTGATGCAAATCCCGACAAAATAGAAGCTGTTCTTAGTCTTCCACAACCCAAATCAATTAAAGACATACAAAAGTTAACGGGTCGAATGGCGGCATTAACCAGATTTATCAGCAAATCAGCCGATAAGGCATTACCATTCTTCGTTATCCTCCGTCAGAACAAGACTTTCGTTTGGGGACCAGAGCAGGTGAAAGCTCTAGAAGCCGTTAAAAATCACCTACGATCACTACCTACAATTGCCAGACCGGAGACGGGAGAAACATTACAGCTTTACATCTCAGCATCCCCCGAAAACGGTAGCGGCTGTGTTGTTGGTGGAGCGAAAGAAAGTACAGATGCCTATATATTTTGTTAGCCATGTCTTAAATGCTGCAGAACGAAGGTACCCTCTAGTCGAAAAAACCGCGTATGCAGTAGTCATAGCGGCAAGGAAGTTGCGACCATATTTTGATGCACATACTATCGAAGTATTGACCAATCAACCGCTAGGGAAGTCTCTTCAGAAAATGGACACTTCCGGTCGTCTACTAAAATGGGCAATTGAGTTATCGGAATATGTGCTGATTTATAGGCCAAGAGTGTCGATCAAGGCTCATGCCTTTTCGGACTTCATAGTTGAAACTTCTTACACTGAAGAAGGGGAAGCGATCGGCACATGGAAAGTGTCAGTTGACGGCTCATCAGCATCAACTGGATCAGGGGCCGGTATCATTATGACGTCTCCAGAAGGGGACATATTTGAATACGCGATAAGATTCAAGTTTAAGGCTTCAAATAATGAGGCTGAATACGAAGCGGCGCTAGCGGGGGTTCAATTATGCATGCAGCAGGAGAAAAAAGAGTGGAGTTATCCACAGATTCACAGTTAGTAGCCAGCCACTTCACTAGCGAATATGAAGCCCGTGAACCGACGATGATAGCCTACTTGGCTCGGCTCAAAAGTATAACGACGGCACTCGACCACTACGAAATCAACCTAATACCTCGTGGTGAAAACACACAAGCCGATGCACTGGCAAAACCAAGTTCAAGCTTTAACGACTTAGAACGCACAGTAATGGTTGAGATTCTGAATCAAAAGAGTATAGACAAGGAAATGTGGAAGGGGGTGAATTGCATAACTGGAGGTCATGAATGGTACGACGACATCCTGGCCTACAAGGTGCAAAACGTACTTCCGACAGATAAAACTAAACCCAAAAATAAAAAAAGATAGCGTCTGGTTTATCATGTTCCAAGGCATGTTGTACAAAAGAGGTTTCTCCCTACCATTACGTAGATGTTTAACGGCATACGAATCCGAAAGGTTGATAGAAGAAATACACGAGGGCGATTGCGGAAATCACTCAGGTGGCCGGTCAATGTCGTTGGAAGCAATGAAAAGGGGATATTACTGGCCGACAATGAACGCAGATGCTATGGCATATGCTAAAAAATGTGACAAATGTCAGAAGTTTGGGCCAGCAATAATCAACCACCTAACGACTTGACACCTATTCTCAACCCTATTCCATTTGCACAATGGGGTATGGACATTGTCGGACCATTCACCTCAGCAACGGGGGGGCGTAAGTTCTTGATAGTGGGGATAGACTACTTCACGAAGTGGATAGAGGTCGAGCCTGTAACAAAGACAACGGCAAATGAAGTGAAGAAGTTTATCTGGAAAAATATTTTCACCAGGTTTGGATTGCCGATAAAGATGGTATTTGATCACGGTTTGCAATTCGACTGTGCCCCAGTTAAGAATTTTCTTGCCATATACAAGGTAAAGTTCGCCTATGCCGCGGTTTGTCATCCTCAGTCCAACGGTCAAGCAGAGGTCGCTAACAAACAGATCTTGAATGCCTTGAAGAAGAAAATAGAAGATGCCAAAGGATTATGGGCGGACCTTGTACCTGAGATACTATGGGAAAACAGGACGACAACAAAGGAAACAACTGGTGAATCACCCTATAATCTTGCTTTCGGCTCAGAGGCGGTTATCCCGGCAGAAGTAGGACTCCCCATATTCCGAGTTCAACATTTCTGCGAGGAACAAAACGACCTACTGTTACAACAGCAACTTGATTTTCTACCAGAGATCAGGCTAACGGCCGAAATTAGGTCAGCAGCATAAAAAGATAGAATGTGTAAGGCGTACAACAAGCGTGTCAATTATAGGTCGTTAGAAGATGGAGATCTAGTGCTGCGAAGGACAGCGACAACAGGCAAAGGAAACATTGACGGCAAACTTACTGCTAACTGGGAAGGACCATATCAGGTCTATGAGACCGTGAGATAAGGTTCCTACCGACTTATGACCCTTGAAGGGAAACCATTAAAGAATGTATGGAATGCAGCTGTGCATAAAATTACTACACTTGAACGTTTTTAATCTAAATGACCGATTTAAATTGTAATAGATATAGTATGATTTTGCGGAACAACATATTTTGTCGGCATAAACTATATATACATAGTATGATTTTACGGAACATCATGGAACCGTCTGTGTACTTTCGATATGCAAGTTTACGCAGCCTAGCTAGCTGTTACACTCATTCAAGTAACAGAATGGTTGGATAACTAAAGCACCTTGAGGCGAGTTGAATGGATTGTCTGATCCACTTCCACTGCTCGGCCCATTAAAGGTCGCAAATTACACAAAGCTCTCACACAGTGAGAGGCTTAGGTACGCAAAAGCTCTCATATAGTTAGAGGCTGATAATGGTATTAATTCTTACGAGTAACCATATAATGATAACTCGAAGAATTGGGGGAATATATGATGCATAAACTGTACTGATAAAAATGCAGCATACAATAAACAGGGCTAAAGATTTAGAAAGATGACAGAAAGGTAAGCGAAAATAGT